TCCTCCCATCCACCATATCTTTTCAACATTGCCCTCCTGCTGTAAATCCTCCTCCCATCCACCATATCTTTTCAACATTGCCCTCCTGCTGTAAATCCTCTCCAGCATCAAGAAGACAGACCCGAACCTAACCTCGTTAGGCCGAAGAAGGGACAAGGAATCATCCGAGGACATCATCAGACTCTGCGTGCTGTGATGATTCCTGATGAACTTTACGATTGTGTGGCCCCTCTTCACAGTGTTCTGCACCCAGTCGAGCTTGCTGAGGTTCCGCAGAAGAAGGCTGCAGCAATACGCAGTTCAAGAAACCCATGGGATCCTTGCGATGTCCTTGTCTGTTCGCAGCTCCAAGATTTGAGTGGCCCTTTTGTTCACCTCCGCATTGTCAGTGCAGATTGCAGTGATGCGATGCACCCCGATTTCCCTTGTTATCTGCTCCCAAAATTTTGCCAATGCGGGTCCTGGTTTCTTCCTGCCTGTCATTGAAACCGTCGCCACTAAGACTGCACCATCTTTGCCGGCTGCCGAGAAGCTCATCACGGGCCGCTCTCGACGATCGCTAGAACCGTCTGTGATGAAGGTGGACCTGGTAACATCCCAGCAGGCTTTCAATGGCTCCACCGATTTCTGAACGTGCGTGTAGATGAACTCCAGCATCACAACCCTATGTGCTTGGATGATGGCAATTTCACATGCGGTCGAGCGTTCGCCACCTGTAAGTACACTTCATGAAGTTTCTGGGTGGTGTCGAAGTTCAGAAAGTCGAAAGGAATCCCCGCACTGAACATAGCCTCTGCCCACGCAATGTCTAGTTTCTTCTGCGTCGTTGTCCACCCACCTCTTTATCGTTGTCTGCTGCAACGCGGATACTTGTGTGTTTGAACCCGAACGTTCTGCCGCCCCACCTGGCGGACAAACGACCTGCCACATCCCCACATCGATGTTCGGAGCAACCCTTCCTGCAGTGGGGGGTGGCTGCGGCTCCTCGTACCAGTGAACATCATTCTTCACCTCTGCTGCATCCGTCTCAGCGGCCCTCGCTTCCAGAATTCCATGCAGCTGCCTGTAATTTTTGAGCAGGTATTGCGTGTTCCTGTCACCCGCTGTACCTTCCTGCCTGCGCGCACGAGTTCGTTGACAATCTTTCCCGTCCTCAAAGGGTGCGGCTTCTGTGGCTTCAGGTAATGCTCCACCACCCTCGTGCTGCCCCTCCAAATCACCGAGCACAAGCGACACCTTACCCAGTACTTGCCACAAGAATTCTCACTCACCTCCTGACCCTGTTCTGCATATTTCCAAACTTTGTGCCCCTTCAGCAGCTTCTCCTGCCTCCCCTTGTCTTGTGGAATGAACAGCGACGGGTCTGTTGCCGGCGTGGGATCTTCAGAAGTGATCGTTGACGCGAGTGTGCTCGAGCTGGCCACAACTTTCCCTTTTCCTCTGTTTCCTGCAGTTGCAGGACTCGTCCTCTTGGAGCCGCTGTACCCCCCGGCGACGCTGCTGCCACCGCCCACCATAATGGAATTCTGAGGTAGAAGAACAAGAAGAAGAAGAAGAAGAGGGAAGGAGGAGGAGAAAGAAGAAGAGGGAAGGAGGAGGAGGAAGAAGAAGAAGAATAAGAAGGGGGAAGGAGGATGCGGACGCAGTAGAAGAAGAAGAAGAAGAAGAGTAAGAAGAAGAAGAGTGGTTAGGAGATGCCCTCTGCCCGATTCCTTTTAGATGGAGGGTGGTCGTGGAAGATAGGTGGACGAGGAGGAAGAAGAAGAGACGAGGGGAGGAAGAAGAAGAAGGAGGGAGGAGGAAGAACAAGGAGGCGGAGGAGGAGATGAGGAAGAAGAAGAAGAAGAGTGGTGTGGAGATGCCCTCTGCTTGATTCCTTTTCTTCTTCAGGGCAGAAAAAAAAAAAAAACTGGAGATGGAGGGTGGTCGTGGAAGATAGGTGGATGAGGAAGAAGAAGAAGAGATGAGGGGAAGCAGAAGGAGGAGGGATGAGGAGGAAGAAGAGGAAGGAGGAGGAGGAGGAGGAGGAAGAAGAAAAAGAGTGGTGTGGAGATGCCCTCTGCCCGATTCCTTTTTTCTGGGGCAAAAATAAAAGAACCTGCAGATGGGAGGGTGATCGTGGAAGACAGGAGGAGGAGTGGTGTGGAGATGCCCTCTGCCCGATTCCTTTTCTTTTTTCGGGCAGGGAAAAAACAAACAAACACAACGGGAGATGGAGGGGTGGTCCTGGAAGGTAGGTGGAGGAGGAGGAAGAAGAAGAAAGTAGGAAGAAGATGAAGAAGTAGAGGGATGAGGAAGAACAACAAGAACAGCAACAAAGAGGGGGGAAGGACGTAGGAGGAGGGAGGAGGAAGAAGAACAACACCAAGAACAAGAAAGGAGGAAGACGAAGAAGAACAAGAAGTCAAAGGGATGAGGATGAAGAAGAGCAACAACACCAAGAAGAAAGGAGGACGATGACGATGACAATGAAGAAGAAGAAGAAGAAGAAGAAGAAGAAGAAGAGAGGGGGAGGAAGATGACAAGAAGAAAAATGGAGGAAGCAGAAGAAGAAGCAAGGAAGGGGAAGAAGATGAAGACGAAGAAGAAAGGAGGAAGAAGAAGAAAAGAAGAAGAAGAAGAAGGAGAAGAAAGGAGGAAGAACAGAAAAAAGATGAACAAAGGAGGAAGAAGGAAGTACGGAGTACTTCATGATCAAGAAGATGGAGGGAGAAGAGCGAGAAGAAAGTACAAGAACGAACGACGAAGAAGAAAGGAAGAAGAAGAAGAAGATGGCGGTTGTAACTAACGGGCAAGATGGCGGGCATCTTTTTCACCCTCAACTTCCCTCAAGTGGGAGAGAGGGGCGCGGTGGGAGGAGGAATAAAACAGGAGACGGGAGGAAGGAGGAGGAGGATGAAGAAGAAGATGGCGGGAGAAAGGGTGAGAGGCTGGGCAGCTCCTTGAGGAAAAACAAAAACGGTGGGAGAACGGGCGAGGTGACGAAGTTTCCCGACAGGGGAGAAGAAGAAGAGCAAGAAAGGAGGATGACGAAGAAGAAGAAAGGAGGAAGAAAAAGAAACTACAATGAAGAAGTAGAAGAAAAAGATAGGGAATTGGAGATGGCAAGAAAGGGGTTGGATTCGTCAGCGGTTGTGTATGGCGGGCAGTTCTACAAGTTCTGAAAAAGAAAAAAAAAGATGACATGGCAGGTGGGGGAAAGTCTCGCAACAGTTACTACAGGAAGAACAAGAAGAAAAGAGAAGGAAGAAGAAGAAGGAGAAGAAGAAGAAGAAGAAAAAGGAGGAGAGGAGTAGGTGGTGCGGAGGGCGCCCGGGAAGGAAGGAGCTGCAGGGTCGTGATTGGAGAGGAGTGGAGGTGGGGAACTTTCGTGCACTGGCTGCTGTTTGCGCTGGTGACGTTTGTCGACAGGAGGAAAAACATCCGAAAAAAGAAGAACAGGAAGAAAGGAGGAAGAAGAGGAAGAAGAAGGAAAGAAGAAGAAGAAGAAGAAGACAAAGAAGAAGTCTCGCGGGAGAGGGGGGGTTTACCTGGCTTCGAGGTGGCAGCACTGGCAACGGCGACGATGACGGTAACAGGAAGCCCGGAGGAGATGGGCGACAGCTTGGAGGAGGTCGCAACGGCAACGGGCAGCTGCAGCGCTAGACGAAGTGAGGGCGTGCTAGGGTCTGTTCGCGCAGTGAGGCTGCGTGCGAATGCCAGGCCGCGTTGGAAATCGAACGGTGGTAAGGGCTGGCATTTGCGCTCAGCCTCACCGCACGCAGAGGACGAACAAGGCCCTGTCGGCCCTCAATTGTTTTTCCGACGGCCCATACTGGCCCTATGCGCATCGGAAGGCTGTCTGGACCCTCCCAGGCCCTCCCCACCCCGTCGACCAGGGGACCTGCCCGGCGGTTGACCAGGGGGCCCTGCCCGGCAGTCGACCAGGGGACCCGACCGGCCGGGCCGCCCGGCACCACCCCCGGGCGACGGCCAGGCAACTGGGTGACGACTAGCATTTATGTTTGTCTTTCCGACTTTTTTTTCCCTATATTTTCCGACTTTTTTGCTTTATGTTGTTCTTTCTTTCGAACCTTGTTCCGTGTCGCCATTATTGATTTTCAATTTTACATTCAGTTTGAATTTTGAAACTTCCTTGTCTGCTCTCTGCGATTGCAATTTTTGGTGGATTGAGCTGACGTTTTTCTCTGTGGCAGGCTACATTCACACTGCGATCAACGACGGACCGGGGTGCCTCACATTGAGGTGCCCGCATTCGACCTGTAGTGCTGCAGTTGGAGAAGACATGGTTCTGTCGCTTGCATCGGAGGAGGATGCCCAAAAATATCACCGCTATCTGTTGAGGTCTTACGTCGAAGATAATAGAAAGGTGAGATTATTCTTAACAGAAGTGCTGCCTCTCTTCTCCAGTATGCGGTAATGTAAAAGGGGCATTGGTATTCCCTTCCAGCCGGTGGATCTTGCTAACTAATTGGGGTGCCCAATTGCATTTTCTTCTTAAAGCTTGTTTCCCTTCGTTGCTAGGTAAGTTGTTCATGCTTTGATCAGCAGTTTTTTCTTTTTTCTATTATTTTCCCCAGTTGCGCAAACCTTTTTATCAGGCAAATGCATGGTGCATGCATTGTTTGTGGGTTTTGTACCGTGGACTGTCTGTGATTTGGCTTGCTCTCTGAGGCCCACTAGCCTATCAGTTTTGAGTGTCCCACGGGAGGAGAGAATGACTTGGGGGCATGCTGACCAAATTCGGGAAGGAGAGAAGAGAGCTGAAAATTGGATCGCGAATGAATGGCTATGTGGCATTGAGATTGACAGACAAAGAGGGTGAAGTGGCAGTCACGGAGACTGCTATAGTTGGCTAAGCAGACATAAGAAGGTTATTGAATTGCGAAGGGAAGAGCTCACATGGAAACCAGGGGATCGTGGGCTGTTGGCATACTCTTAGAAAGGAGGTCAGCAAAACGGATAGAGGGCTAGGTTCGTCTCATTTCCAAGCCCCAACTCAAGCTCACAGGAACTAGAGATTCTCAACAGAAACCCGGAACTAGTAGTTCTCAAATCCCACACCCGAGCCTTGGTTGATTTACAATCCTAACCTCAGCATAGCGGGGCTTGAGTTTGACCCCAAAGAATGCGTACTGTGGACCTACTCTCTCCATTTTGGAGTATGAGGTCAATTCCAATTAGTAACTTCCGCTCAAAACCATCGACTCTAACCCTGCAAATTATAAGAGATGGAAACAAATTGTAAACCTGGATCATAACTCCACGATAGAGTGAGATCCCTTGCGATCAAACCCATTAGAACTCGGAGCCTGTAATGGCCGCTAGCCCACACTGGTTTTCCTGGCAATAAGTGGTTACCCCCACACAAGGACACACTCAGATCCCAAGAGGACCAACATATGTGCAATATGCACTAATAAGTTAATAACAGGCCTAAAAGAAAAAATAAAAGTCATACCTGAGGACATTATAGACTGCCTCCGAGTTTGCAGCATCTTGGATCTGTGACAAGGTGAGAGAGCTGTTCACCCCCCTCTTCTCTTCCCCCCCCCCCCCCAAAAAAAAAAACCCAACAGGCACGGTACTTCCCTGAGTTATATCTTTCAGCCTTCCCAAATCCCCTGAAGGGCAGAGCATGGTGAACTGGTTCTGACCACTCAGTAAACTGGCACTGTGGGAATGGAGATGTGCTAAGATGATTGACGAGGATAGCATGACGAAGGAGGAAGCATGAGGGCTTAGGATGGTGGAAATTGAAATCCGATGCAGATGGAGTGCTACATGGCTCACAGCCAAGGTTGAACCATAGAGGTTTAAGGCCAAGAAGTGAGCTTTGACCGGGACTGGTTGCTCGAGGCGAAATAGCGAACATTGTGGATGAGACATTGGCGGATGACAAGGGGTCCAGTTATTAGACACTGTGAGAGAACACGTGCTTGGTTCTGAAAAAGATGTCCGGCAGTAAGATCTGCATGCCCGGCCACAGATTCATCTTCTTTTATTCGACTTGGGCAACTCCTGACCGCATACAGCTATTCGCAATCACGTAATCATCACAATCCCTGAACAGGCCGAGAAGTCAATCCTCCTGCTACCGTTTTCATCTGAAGAGAGCGGCTGGTCGTTATCGCTGAATCGAGATTGATGGTGGCCCAAGTTCAGATACAATGACCCTACGTTCTATTCGGGTGAAGACGGGAGCAATCCATGCTGGTCAGGGGGGCTTTGGCCAAGATGGATGGAAGTGTGGGGTGGGTGATTCAATGTATCCATTTTTGACTCACCAGGTTGATGGAAATGCACTGATGCTCCCCAGAATCGAAAAAGAACCAGGACCATAAGGGGCTGATAATGGTCCTGCACACACAAAAAAAAAAGGCCATGGAAGGTCAGCTCCTTGCTTTGCAGATAGGCAGTGCGTTTTTATGTTTGGTTATGTTTGGATGCGGCTGGTGGAATTTGTTGGGTTAGTAAATGAATAATATATTGAGGGAGTGGCTGATTCACTTTTTCCGCTCACCCCCTCATTAAGAGTTGGCTGGGTACCCAGGTGCTGAAATGGATTGGAGATGTGGCCTGCCTAAGGGAAGAGAAGATCTGCGAGGTATCATCTTTCCGTGAACAGAAGGGATGGTTATTGCAGCTGTATTCGGAGCAACTTTCAGGCCGGACACAAAATTTTGGATGAGAAACAGCTACACGTGATCTAATTTGATGCAAGTTTGAGCCCGGAAATGTCTGCACGCGGTTATTCAGTTCAGTTTTCAACACAGAAACATCGACATGTTTTCTATCTGGTGCAATGTCCAGGCCAGAAGCAGCTACATGTGTTTCTATTTGGTGCACAACTTTCAGGCCAGAATCAGCTACATCCATTTCGGTGCAAACTCGTGCTACATATCCTCTATTTTGGTCCAAATTTCATGCCAGAAACAGCTACACGTCTTCTACTCGGTGCAATTTTCAACCAAGCAACAGCGAAATTGCTAATTGGTTCAACTTTCATACACGGAGTCGACTAACATAGATCATCTATGTACATAAGTGGTGTACATAGTTAATGACCAAGAAACAGCTATATTTCTATTTGGTTCAACTTTCATACATGGAGTTGACTAACATAGATCACCCATTTACATAAGTGGTGTACATAGTTGATATACATGGTGCACTGGTTGGTTTGTTTCTTCCTCCCTCTTGGTGTGCAGGCTCTGGTTCGTTTGCAGAGTAGGGAGTTTGCAGCTCTCTTTGTTGGCTCGGTGATCTGGCGCAGTATTTTGGAAAAAAAGTGATGTTTATGGCTTAAGGCTTGCATATGGATTTGCAGTGTAGTATTTTGTCGATCCTTCCGCCTCAGAGTCTCGCTCACCTAGGTAATGTTTCCATAGATGGAAAAGAAATCAGAAAATGTACAAAGGTGGAGATTCTTTTGCGGAGAGCGTCTTTGATTGAACCCGCAAAACCAATCTTCTTTTGAGTGTCGAGTGTTTCACTGTTCTTGCCGCTGCTAAGATTCAAATCGAGGATCTCTAGGGAGGATCTCTGTAGGACTGTTCTGTGAATAGGCACTTCAGACCAAATAATCTGGAATTCTGTAGGTAAATAGGGCAAGCTTGAAAGAAGAAAGCATATATAGATAGAAGACTGGCGGAAGAGGGATTTGAACCCCGGATATGCGAATTATGATTCCGCTATGTAGGTTGGGAATGCATCTCCTTGGGAAGTGCAGAGCTGGGAAGTAGGACAAATGAATTGTTCCCCTTTTGCAAGGTGAAATGGTGTCCAAGCGGTGTTTGGGTTGGGGAGCCTGGCGCTCGAGGCTGGGATAAAGTGTATGGATAGGCACAGCTGTCAATCGCAAACCCAATTCTTCCTAAGCGCAGTATTATCCCAACATGAAGATATCATCGCATGCCTTGTGTGCTTCTGCCCCCTCCCCCCCGCAGCTTATCATGTCTTCTTTTTGTTTGTTTTTCTTTGGGTATGTTTTTTGCTTGTGTTTTGGGTTTTGTTTGAAGTGATAGATAAAGGCAGGGATATGCGCACAAATCTACGTTTTCTGTTGCAGGAGGTACTGATGATTTACTTTAGGAAACAAAGAATTACAGCAAAAGATGTGTATGGTCCACGTCGGTTGTGCAGGTGAAGTGGTGTCCTGCCCCTGGATGTGAATTTGCCGTGGAACTGATTCCAGGAAGCACAGTCTATGATGTCACCTGCAAGTGCGGTCATCAGTTTTGCTGGAATGTGAGTAACTCAGTGGACAAACTCCCTATCACCGTTTTTTTTTTTTCCTTTTCCCCTTTTGCTTATTGTTTTTGTGAGTTTTTTTTTTAAGGGTACCTTTTTTCTCAGTTTTGCTTGAAAGCGAGCAAAACCTGCTTAATGCTATTGAGTAGTATTGACCTTTGTGATCGGTTTTGCTGGCATCCCTACACTTATAGAAATCGCTAACGTGAGAATTAGCCAATCCGGGCCACCCACGGTCTTACCGTCCTGACGGTCCGGATCTCTGCGTGATCTTAAGACTTTAAAGACTTTAAGATCGTGCGATGATCCAGGCCGTCCAGTGAGGCGGACGGCCTGGATCGTAGCGCAATCTCAAAGTCCAAGCCATCTGCCCGGTAGGACCGCGGGCGGCCTTGATCGTCGCTGCTGTTGAAAAGAGGGCCCGTCTTAAAAGAACCGCCCCGGCACCTGCTGGCCATTGGCCCGTTGCAGGGCAGGCAGCTCTATGACCCTGCTCGTGTCGAACGGCCCGTGACTTCGCGCCCTCGACCCCTGACTTGCGAGGTTGTGCTCCGAGGTGATCCGTCTCCGCCCACCTCCCCTCCGTTTCCGCCCACCTCCCCTCTGCCTCCCCCCACCATCTCCCTCTCTTTTCTCCCCCACCTCCGCCACTTCTCCTCTGCCTCCGCCTCCTCCCTCCATCTCCTCCCGCCATCATCTCCTGTCAACTCCTCTCCGCCTCTGCCTCCACCTCCCTATCCCCCTATCCCCTCTGTGTGTGTGTGTGTGTGTGTGTGTGTGTGCGTGTGTTTGTGTGTGTGTGTGTGAGAGAGAGAGAGAGAGAGCCCGCGGCCTCCACCCACCTCCCCTCTGCCCCCCCTCGCTCTCTTTCCTCCCCTGCCTCCGCCACCTCCTGTCCACTTCCTTTTGCCATCTCCTCCCGCCCTCGTCGCCTCCGCTTCCATATCCCGTGTGTGTGTGCGTGCTTGTGTGTGTGTGAGAGAGAGAGAGAGCCCGCGGCCTGGGCCACCGCCTCCGGCCTCGGCCTCCGCCCACCGCCGCTCGGCCTTCGCCCACTTCCGGTTCCGCCTCCGCCCACCTCTGCCCACCTCCCGTCCACTCTCTCGAGATGTGAATAAACAAGATGTACTTGTATTTATTGATAATATTTTCAGATTTGTACAGGCTGGATCAGAAGTTTCTGCTTTATTAGGTAGGATGCCTTCAGCAGTAGGCTATCAACCTACTTTAAGTACAGAAATGGGCACTCTTCAAGAAAGAATTACTTCGACAAAAGAAGGCTCTATTACCTCTATTCAAGCAGTTTATGTACCTGCAGATGATTTAACTGAT